CTGATAAGAGTTAATTTTCTTCATAGAGACTATGTTTTAGATTTGTGGCCAAAGTAACTCTCCTAAACCAGCAATGTTTTAGTTACCGCTGAGCAGTGTTTGCAGCAGCAAGGCCTTCTCCATTTCTCACATTATCCCCTCTCAAACAACCCCCAGGTGGATAACCCAAACTAACCAACGAGAGATTCCATGACATACAGTGTCATTCTCAGCAATAAAAAGGGAAACAAGAGTGGGTTTTTTTCAGTTAGGTTTGCCATCTATTGCTTGGGAACTGGCTGGGCATTGGTCTGCCCATGGAATATGGTTTGTGAGTGCCTTTGCATTGCTTGTTTTGTTTTCTTCCTCTCTTCTTCCACTTCAACAGTTTTCTTCTTGACCCCAGGTTTTCTTGTTTTCACCCTTCCATTTCTCTTCCCCTATCCCACTGCGGGTGAGCAAGGGGCTGTATGGTGCTTGGCTGCCTACTGGGCTTAACACACAGCAGTAAAGTATCAGCCCTTCACACAACATCCAAGGCAGCAAACCATAGTGTGTGACTATTACCCATAGAGGCTAGCAAAGAAATATGGAACATACACCATTACACCTATGTACTGAAATGTTAGCTAGCTAGCAATGGTTATGACCACACTTTTGGTCAAATAAGAATTATGATGATAGTTTCTTGCTGTGTCCTTATCATTCTCATTCATAAACACAGTTATACTTCCTGTTTCTTTCAATTTCAAGAGTCAGTGGCATCTCAGATGGTACAGCTGCCATAAAATCCTCCGAAGTAAAGAATAAGAGGCTTCTCCTCCACCTGTTCTCACCATTTGTCACACCTTGTTGCTCACATGAGTGCAATACTTGGTTAAATGGAAGTGGTTTTGACAGGTTCTTTTCATTTTACCTACATTGCTTCAGTGAGGCAGTTCAAAAGCACAGCCCCATGGCACAAGATGACTGCTGCACAGCACCAACAACTTCTCAAACCAGCTTTCTGTCAAAAAAAAAGTGTGTTGTCCAACAGCACACCCAATCACTGTCACAATAGCTCTTACAGTAAAAGTAGGCCCAGGCTTAACTAGATTTATAGGACCTGGTTGTCAACTTTGGAAGTTGCTCTGCATATTTGATGTTAAAACCGAAGTCTTCTTGTTATACTCAGAGCTGCCTTGGATTTGCAGCTTTTTTTCCTCCCTGAATATAGTTACAGAACATGAGAAAACAGTATACTGGAAAAACAGCTGATCCCTAGAGAACTTCTATTCTTTGTGGGAATTTCAGATTTTGCTAGAATATTAAGTCTGTTTCAAGAATATGCCTTCAGCATTACAGCAAATTATTTATTACAGTAGCATTGAGAGGTCATAATCAGATTGTAAAACTAACTTAACCACACATCATGCAAATATCTAAGTTTCCTGTGCTAAATAAATTATTTTACTTAATTTTTTTAAAAAAGCTTTCAAGAGATTTGAGAAAGCATCAGACAGGATAAAATAAACATCTTCCATCACCTCTATTTAGCTAGGAAATATTAACTTGCCATAAACAGTCCCATCTCCTAGCTGGTATTAAAGTTAGCTATGAAGATTTTCAAGTAAGAATCCACTTTCCTCTAATGCTACAGCTTATACTAGAGGAAGTTTCCTGAAAACATCCACAAAACCACCTCACTGTTATTGTCCAAGTACTCCTTTGGAGTTATGCTTTGATATTGTATCAGCAAAGCTAATATCCAGGTATACTCAGCACCTTCAGAATCTGCATCCCACGTTGACTCATTCTCTCATTCTGTTTCCCTGTGGTAAGCTTCAGCCACTTAAATCCACATGCTGTCTGATGTACTCACACTACACGTGTACATATTCTTACCCTGTAGTTGTGCTGTGCCTTCAACACAGAGCCAAGGGCTCCTAATTGGTGAGACAGAAAGCTGTAAGAGTATCAACAAGGAGAAATCCAACAGTTTTAACCCTAAGGAGCTTTAACAGTGAGCAATACTTCTACTCAAGTAAATCCTAAGTCTCTGCAGCCTCACACCCGTTATTGGATTCCAGAGTATCTTAAATCAAGTTCCGCCCCCCCCCCCCCCAACTGTGATGTCAAACAAGAAGAGGCAAAAGAATTCCCAGGACAGACAAGACATTCTGAGTATCAGACATTTTCAGTTTTAATATTAGAGGCATGAACCAGCCTTTCACACTTTCACACCAAGCCACGCATGCGGCTGACCAAAACTACCCCGAAACTGAGGGTTCTCACAGCAAGTGCTGGGCTTAGCTGCATCTCTTCAGTACAAAGCACACCCAGAACATAACTGCCACCACGGATGCAGTGCTGCCCTAGAAGGAATTCTGTCAAGATGGCCTGTATTAACACCACACCGGATTGATGCTCCTTTCCTCTCAGCCAACTACGAACTGGTAACAGACTCCCTAAATATGCCTCCTACTAACCAGAATAAATCAAGCAGTAAATGGAATGGTGCCTCATTTATTTACTTATTTACCCAATTTTCAGTTAGCATTTGCTCATGTAAGGCTATTGTTTTGAAATGAGGCTCTTTGCTGTCGAACCTAGATTTGCCATAGCGAAAAAGAAAAAACCACTACAACTGTCTGAATTGATTTACAAAAGGAAATCTGAACTTTGGCTCCAGCAACTCTTACTGCTCCCTCAGTTCAATTTGAGAACAGCATCAGAAAACAAGCTTAAAATATGCTACAGAATAAGGAGTGTTTATCTTAAAAGAAATAGTAAGAAATGCTTATATGAAAAGACACCCTTTCAGATTTATCTATATAAGAGGAGATATCATTCACTGCAGTTCAAAGAAAATTATGAAGTTAGAGAAACAAAAGATGCTTTAGGAATTCATTACATTCCCTGCCTCGAAAATTAGGAAAATACAGTAAAAGGAAGAGGTTGAAAGTTTAAAAAAAGTTCAAAGAACCTTCAATTTACGTTTTATAGACCACATACAGACAATTAGGGTTAAGTGACAGGGAAAAAAGAAATCAGTTAGCAAACAACCATTCTTCTGCAGTGGCAGAGTAAATTATGGCTTATTAAAAAAGACAAAAATCACTCATCATTGTATAACTAATGTTATGGTCTCACTTGAGCATTATAATGTGTTTCAGTCACTAATACCAGCAAAGAAAAATTCAGAAAAAGGAAACAAATTATAAAAACATTGTCTTGGTATGCTACAGTAAGAAAGCAAGTGCTAGAACTGAAACTTTCAGAAAATTTACAGAAGTGAGTAATGAGATGAAATGACAAAGACAAGAGAGATTCAGAAGCTTGAGACTATAAATCACTTTTAAAAACACACTATCTCTGAGTTACCTAAATCTACAAAATGACGTGTAGGATTGCTAGAAGAATGTTAAGGAGACCAAAATGTTTTTCCCTGATAGTGATAAGAGTCAAAGAATATGAAAACAACCCTGCAAACCTAAAGATAAGTAATAGACCTCACACCACTTGTAATTTTATTATTGTAGTTTTAGGAACGGCAGAAAAATGAATGAGAGGAAACAAAATATAGCTTCCCCTCTAGGTGAAACAGTAACTCTAGTTACTAATGAAGACAAACTCAATAACCCCTTTTGGCTGATAGTGGGTCTGATCCTTAAGTCAAGCTGAAACTTCCATCCTGACACAGCACTGCGGAACCACGAGTACATTTAGGGATAGCTGGGTGGAACGGTAACTCTCCACAAAGCTTCCAGGATTAACCGCTGGCTAGCAATTGTGTAAAATACTGCTCTACTTTTAAGTTCCAGTTCCCAACGCCAGCCTCACGCGAGCAGCCATCTCTTCCTGAATACAGCTGTGAAATGCATACAAAGTAGACGCTATACAGGTTTTCAGCTTTAACGCTCTCCTACCAATGGAAAGGTAATTCTCATCCTCAATATGCCTCACAGAATTTGACAATGCAATGAAAGATTAGGTTAAAAACAAAACAAATACAAAACAGTTGTAGGTTTCTTGTTTTCTTAATTTGTACACCTTCCAGTATGCATCCCTAAATAGCAAACACACTACAATGTTTTTATAGCATACAGCAGTTTACTTTCAGATTTGATACAGTGGATAAAAAGCGGTGACATGTTAACTGTGCTGTAAAGGAGGTGGCAAGGAGCATTTTAATTTCATCTGAAAATCTGTCAAGACAGTTCTGTCATCATAAACCTAGCTCCCTTCCTTTTTCATAGTACCACATACAATGCAATGTGAAAACCTTTCAGTTGAAGAGAATTAATACTGACATCAGAATTTTTCCAATGTATAAGTAATATCAGCTTTAATAACATCCATACACGTCATCCTTTATGTTGTATGACATCTAGAACAAATTTACAGAACCCTTGTTCTCCTAACAGTTCAACACACCCGTTTAGGCAAAAAAAGTAGGAATGAAAAATACTTACGGGAGCAAAGACAGGCATTAGAACAAGAGCAAGCAGAAGAGAAGGCATTTTGTATACCATGCCTACCGTTTAGATTAATGAGACCCAATAACTGAAATGGAAAATGGCTGCTTCAGAGACCTTTAGTGTGCACAGTGCCATCCCTAAAAATGAATCTTAAAAATGGATATGCTCAAAATACTCATCAAGGAAAGAGGGAGCAGGCAACTGACAGCCAGCTGAGAGAACAGCAAAGCCTATGGTAAGAGACTTACAATTCTGGGCTTTTTCGATCAGTTTGACCTCAATTTGCATCTCCTTATCATTCTATTCCTTTAATTAGATTAATGTGTATTTCATGGCACACTGTAGGTGTTGCAGACTGGTTTCTTTAAACACATTTGAAATGTTAATTAAAAATGTTAACAGCTATGCACAGTAATGAAAAAGTATAGTACCATGAGATTGATGAAATTCATCTGGAAGAAGTATTTAATATAGCAACAAAATCCTGAGCAACTGTCAAATCGCTCTTTTCTGTCAACACTCACTTAACAAAGGCTTTAGCTGATCTTTACTAGAGGAAGACTATTCTTAGCTGTTTAAAATCAAGAGTAGAACAGCCTGATCCCCCTCTAATGGGAGAAGTCTTGCAGCATCTCAGTGGCCTGAAAGTTTAGTTTGATGATAAAAGCAACATAGTTATTTTTAGCACTCTACAGGCATAAAAATACAGCTCTAAACTGTGACCTACAGCTATGCACAGCCGAGCATCACATCATACGACAGCCTTAACTTTAGATAGAAGCACGTCTGCAGTTGCTTCAGACTATCATTATTCATCTCACTACCAACAATACCTTTGGATGGATTTAGCAACAAGCATTTGAGACTGTTACCATCTTTTTTTAAATTGCTGCCATCGGCAGAACTCAATTCAAAAGGTAGGAGATCTTAATGGACTTTGTAGAAAGTATTTGAGACTATGTTAGGTTAAATGGATTACTACTTCTCTCTGGTACAGAGGATGAAAAAGAATCTTAAAAGCAGAAAAACTTAAACTGTCATATTCAGTACATAAAGTCATTTTTCTAAGCACAGTTTGAGTAAATGAAAAAAAAAAAAAAAAGGAAAAACCTTGTTTTCTCTCAGCAGTAGTAACAGTCTGGAAACAGGATATGCTAGAATAAGAGACCTTCAAGCAAACTCACCTGAAACAACACTGTTCAGACAACTGCAAAGGTAATTTATGTTATTTTATTCCAATTGGTGGTATGCTTGTGTCTGCATGATTTGTAAACAACTGCAACATAAAGGACTATTCCACCAGGTCATGTAAACAAGAATCTGTTTAAAATAAAAATTGATACAGAAGTTTTAAGAACAGATCATGCAGAGTTCCAGCATTTAACTTTATTTAATCACTTCTTAGATGTGCAGGTAACTTCAAATTTTGGAGGTTTGACCTTGTGTTTGGTTGGGGGTTTTGTTGTTACTGTTTTGGTTTGGGGGTGTTTGTTTGGTTTTGGGGTTTTGGTGGTCCTTTTTGTTTTGGGGGTTTTGTCTGGTTGGTTTTGGGTGGGTTTTTTTGTTTTGGTTTGTTTTTAAACCCACACATACTACCAGAATTAAAAAAATTAAATCTTTCCAAGATGATAGATATGCACTTTTAAATGCTATAACTTCACATAGTTACGTTAACTCAGAAAACAGACAGAAAATATTTTAAATTGTAAGGCTTGTCAGATTTAATGATGGCTTGATAATTACTGTTATCACTACTTACATTGTTCTGCAAAATATTTTATCATCATTAACAACATTACCTTTAAACATTCAGCTGCTAAGAAAGAAGTCTACAGATACAAATAACTATTGGTCAAGCAGAAATAAGCAAAACATTTTTTTTTCCTCCCATCACAGCTTAAAAATGCCACTTTTTGGCTGGATGAAATGGTCAAAAAATGACTCCTACAAATCCACAAGATATCCTGGATCAGAAGTAGTTACAAAAACCCTACTGAGGGAATTGAAATGGCACCTGAAAGAACGTGAAAGATTACTGCAAGAAATTGAAAATGAACAAAAACTCCAGAAGACTGGTATGGATTACAACTGGCTGAAGAACTACCAAAACCCTCAAGCAACAATTCCAGCTACCGAGCAACGCCAGCTCGAAGTTCTGTGTTCACAAATCCAGCCCTGCCAAACAGGAACTGTTCTCAGCAGGTAATTGTTTCATATTTCTCTAACTTCGAATACTCTATCATAAGTAAAATGTCTTCTACCTAATCCAAGATTATATTTGGCTCTGATCTTTCTGTCAAAGTAACAGTGACCAGCAACTGGAACACAGTTTTACAGATGTCTTAGAAATTACATCTTTACTTAAACATGTTGTACTTGTAAGAAGTTTTCAATCAGGATTTTCTAGGTCTGATCCAAAAAAAGGGAAGTGTCACATGCTTAGACATGTGACCTCAATACTTTCAGGTTTTTTTCTATTATTTAACCCCAATATTTATTAAATAGTAACCCAATAACCAAAAATTAAAGCACCACGGCAGTGCAGTTATGCAGACACCCAGCTTCACTGTCCAAAACATCTGAAAGCTTCTAGAACTAGCAAATCAGTGTAAAAAAATTTTTTAAATTTCCATCTTTTAAAAACACCCCTTCACACACATTTTAGAAAGAAAAAATTTCCTATGTCTGTATTTTAAATATATTTTCTAGGGACACAAAGAAATGCCAGAACAAGCCTATGTGCCTTTTAAAGCCCAGAATATACCTAGGGGGAAAGTCAGTTTAAATCAAGTTACCCAGATGGGCCACAAAAAAAAAAAAAAGGCATCCTCAATAACAATAGCTTTCAATCCTCATAACAGCTGGACCATATCCAGTGTATTGTTAGAGCTCTTTCCCTCTTACAAACTTTTGAGGGAGGTATGCGGGGAAATGTGGCAGCAAGGAATAAATGACACAAGAACACAGTCATTTCCTCCTCCTTCCCTTTCCCTCAAAAGGCCAGAGAGGAAACAGAAGAGTTTAACACTGATGATTAGATTTCAATTTTTGTTGTTTCTAGATTTCGTGAAGTTTTGGCAGAAAATGATGTTTTACCTTGGGAAATAGTCTACATATTCAAGCAAGTGTTAAAGGATTTTCTTACTACCATTGAGAGAGAAAACCAGCAAGACCACCTGGTAGATGCATGGAATACAAATGGCTCTGAGTATTTCAGCCTGCACGGACACAGTTCTAACAAATCGGACAAAGATGAAATCCCCACAGTTTCACGTTATGTCGACAAAACCACACAAAGCATGTTTCCCACCTTCTCTCATAGAATCTGGAACCTGCCATATTACTACCCGTCAAGTTAAGCCAGCTTGTGTTTATTTCAAAAAAGCTATGTAGCCTTTCGCATTCCTTTCTTGTGATTGCCATCCACAAACACAGGAATAAGAAATGTGACATGCTCCCTTTCTTTCCAAGTTCAGAAATTAAAATAATTGATTATAACTAGTATGCAGTAAACAACCTTTAAATATGAACTCTCCTTTTATCTTTATAGTTCCTTAAATATGTTGTGTTTGAAAGCACCTTTTAACCAAAAACATTAATCTTCCTGAAAAAAACTCCAAAGCATTTTATTTTTGCGCCATATACAGCTAGATGTATTTAAAAAAGAAAAGACTGTTTTCCATACTTCGAAATAGCATCCATCCACAAAGTGTTAAGCAAAAACTTCTGTATTTGTCACATAGCTTTTAGGCTCTATGGGAACTTTATAACGTGTAAGACAAATGGTTTAATATAATATCAGTTATACCAAATAAACTGGTGAATACTTTTTGGAGCTGAATAGTTATTTCTTAACTTCAAGAATAGGTTCTAAAATGAAAACAATGTCAGAAGTTATAACACATTGCATGCACTTTTTCTATACTTTTTCCAAACTGTACTCTGCACATGCTGAAGTACTGTGAAGGTAGATAACAAAATTAAAGCATCCAGTATTTAACATCAAACAACTAGCTCCCTATTCTTCAATAAATTAATTATTTAATTTCAAATAGTTTTACTTCTTCATTTGACTTATTGGAAGCTATCCTGAAACCCACCACTGGATTAGACTTAAACATTTTGATCAAATCAGACAGTCTTTTTCTAGAAGAGCAAGAGAGTCAACGGATCATTTCCAAAGCAAGAGGTGGTAATTTCAAATTTAAGTGTAACAAAATTTCATGGTTTCCAGTTGCCATCATCTATCCTTCTGGGTTAATAATAAAGTTTTACAAGACTGGCTGGATACATAGCGGTTATGGTCACAGCAGACAATTAGAGCAGAAAATCAATGAAAACATATGCCAGAACTCAGTTTGCTACATTTCCAATTGGGCTCCCATCCCTGTATGTAACAAATTTTTATATGTCTCACATAACCTCTTTATCTCCAGATTTCCTTTTAAACTGTCTGCCACATCATAAAAAATGGGCAACACTCACATAGCCCAACTGACAAAATGCACTGTTTTGCAAACACGGAGGGAAACAGCTTCCTCTGATATTTTCTTCAAACATACTGAAAAAGACATCCAGACTTTCTCAAGTTGATAACATACAACTGATAGCTGCTGTCTTGTGCTCCACAGTTACATCCCTCAACCAAAAAAGAATTTACTAGTAATGCAACATAAATTGGGTGAAACAAACGGCACAAAATTTTCATAAAAGATAAAAATACTATTATAAAAAGCCTTTGGAAAGCTTATAATCTAGACAGCATTTAATGCAGAGGAGTGGAACATAATATACACAGAAGGTGAAAATCAGAACTCTTGCATACACCTAACTGACAAAGCACTAGAGGAAATCAGTTCCTACATGTTTAGAATAATAAAAAAAACCACAGCTCAATACCAAAGTAACCAGTCCCTCCATGTTCCATGAATTAAATACACAAAACTTCATAAGCATGGGCAAACTCCTATCTACACTGAGAGCTGTTATAAACTCTTTACTTTCCTTCGGTGCAGCTGTCAGTTTGTAGATAAATAATGTAAGTGTTGATCTCAACTTACTTTGACCTACTGATGCAGAATAGAATATCAAATTCTTTTTATGCAGTTATAAACAATCCAGACATTGGTACTTGCATGAGGACAGGAACGATGTGAAAGGTTCCTCCTCAGTGATGAAGCTCCCTGAAGAGTCCAACTTCAAGTTCCTTTTTCATAGGAAAGCGGGTAACAGGTACTGAGCATATAGAAGGCATTAGCAGAATTACTATTACATTGAGAATTAATATCCACGATATTGGTTTCAGAAAACAATTTTTACTTGGTCAAATGTGCAAGATTCCTGCAATGGCAATTCACATAAATTGGTTTCTTAAAATGGTACCTTCACAGCTTCCTACTGGAAAATAGGTGAAAAAAGCCCTAAATATTAGCTTCCAAATTCTGGTTTATGGAAAATCATAGGTCAGTAAACATGTAAGGCCCACTTACCTTTACAATCATCAAAAAAAGGTAGGGAAAAAAAACAAAACAAAACACCTCAAACCGCCCCATAAGATGACCACAGATAAAACCTACCCATTCTTCACAAATTTCACTTTAATATAAGTAAATGCAGTCTTCTACATCTAGAAACACAGACCATCAGCTACAACATATGTCAAAAAGCAATGGCTGAATAATAGTTCAGAAATATATCTAATCATCATAGCCAATTCAATTTCAATCCCAATGCAATGCTAAGGAAAGGCACAAAAAGGCTTACCTACTTTTAAATGCATGTTTTATTGATTAAACAGATACTAGGCTGCTGCATCCAGTTCTAGTATCCACACTTGGGGGAAGGAGAGGGAGAAACCAAACTAGGAACTGAAGAGGATACAGGAAAAAAAAATATCCAAAGGCTGAGAAAATGCCACCCATTAAGACCTCATTTTGTCCATTTTTTCAAACACAGAAATGTGAGGTGTCTTTACAGAATATGAACGCTTCCATCTGATTAAAGTATTATGTACTCTCCGCGTAGTTAAAAAGCTGAGAAAGGCATGGAAAAAGCAAAGGTGTAAGAGCAAGATGACAAACTAAAGAAGTTAAACATAAAGAATATGCTAAATTTACTGCAACATGCTACAAAGAAAATCTGTACCTCAGTCCGCCAGCAAAAACAAGCTGTGTTCTGAAATTTAGCTTATACTTCCAGACAGAAGTAACATGGCTGCAGGCCAGTCATTGCTCTGCTGAAGACTGCTGTCTGAGAATTCAACTGTTTCTTTAAGCACTTTTTATTTATGGGCTACATTATTTGCACAAGGTGATCTGAAACTATGTTCTTCCTTACAGTAACCCAGCTGACACTTCCAACATAGGCAGGCAGCCACACAAACCACTCCGGTGACAGAAAGGCGAGTGGTAATAAATTCGAAGGGCAGCAATGTCCCCCACCTGCACAGGTGTCAGGCAGAACAGCGTGCAATGTTTTTAGCCAAATAAGCTGTCTATTAAAAAAGGCTAACTTGGTAAAAGCTACACCTATGAAATGCAAGAAATCAAAGAGAGAATAATCCCCTTTTCCACACTTAAGTGTTTTAATGTGAACCACAATTGTTTTGATAACAAGGAAGGATTTAATGGTCTAAATTTCTTTTCATTCAGTTAAACATAATCAGAGGAATTAGAAGATTAATCAACAAGCTATTTAAGGATCAAAATTCCAACCACAATTTCTGAGACCTATTATCTGTCCCTAACAGGCTCAATTACTAATACGGCTATTCTAGAGGTAGTTCAGATAACAAGATAATCTTAAAAGCCTTGGAAAATGAGGCATCATTGGTAAAGGAAGAGAACCCATTCCACATCTCTTTTAAGCGAGACGCGAGGCTTTTAAATCCCATTAGACTTTTGTAAAATATTAGTCATTACACATGCTTGTGTGCAATAACACAGCTGTTATTACCGTTACCAATTTGGTATTAATCTTACACATTCTCACATATAAATTTAGACAAAACAAGTAGGAAGACAGTCTCCATCAATAACTATACATCTACCTTGAGAGAAACATAAATAAGCATTTGAAGATTTTGAAATAATTTTGGTTTTGATTTTCCCAAGAAAGAAACCAAGAATTTGAAGAAAATATTAAAATAGACTATTACACTACAAGCAGACTCAATAAAATGAGATAAATTATTCTGTTTTCAGTTCTTCAAACACTTTCTTGAGAGGCCAGTAAATTAAATCTAAGCATTTACTTGAATCTAAGCCTTCTCAAGTTTCTTTTTTTCAAAGTTTTGCAAAAACTCTCTAAATGTAAGCACATTCCCATAACTCTGAAACAGAAGCATATTTGGAAACAAAACACAGCTAAGCAAACACACCTTCTTACACAGGTTCTTTTAATTTTGCAGCAACAGACATATGCACCTGTCACCTATGCTCAAAGATCTGACATGTTTAACTATGAGAAATTCTGTCCACACTTACATAAATGGCTTGTAGGATGCATATCCCCCCCTCTGATGGGAAAGAAAAAAAAGGAAAAAAAAAAGGCAACCAACCTGTAAAAGTAACTTCCTCCAGCTAATTTTGAAAAAGACTTTAGTATATGGAAGTGCATACAAAACATTCTTCTATAGTGACCATGGATACATTAGCCAAACCTAATCTAAATACTAAGAGTACTAAACACTGCCACAAGACCTCCCAGTTTAGGCAGCATTGATGGGAAAGTGTTTTTTTGTTTTCAATATCCAGACAGTAGTGAAAATTGAATGTACTTCGCTGCTATGCAAATACACACACAGTTCTCTCCCTTAGCTGTAAACTCTGCCATCTGAGAATAAAGCAAATCCAAGGAGTGACACACCAGTATACCTTGAACTAGCTTTACTCTGGTAACTTAAATGCTTCAGACAGGTCACAAGAGCAAGGAACATACGCAGTTTAGTTATAAAACACGTAGCAGTCCATTCAGGAAAAAAGACTGTTAACTGCTGCTCAGAAAAAAACAGAAGTTCCTATAGGGAAACAAACAGAAAGATTCAGTTTGAAAATAACAGAGAACATCTGCTGTAAGTGACATCAGTATCATAACTCCTGGAAAACTTCTGGCTGGAGAAGAACATGAGAAGAAGGAAGCAGAACAGGTAAGAAGTCAGTTTTTCACAAATTTGTTGCAATAGCAAGAAATTAAACTTTCCAACAAAGGTATAGGGTAGGTAGCACCCACTTCTTACTAAGTTTACTTGCTCACAAACTTTGGTATAAGTTAGAAGTGCTTAATTACAAATAAGCTATGAAGCTATTGGTCAAATAACTTATGTACTGTAAAATAATTGACATTCAAGGATCAGCCATGGAAAGCAACATTATAAAAGCCAGCAATACTGTCAAAGGACTATGAGGGAAACATCAGCACAAATAATCAGTGTTGCTCATTGATTTAATAGTTAAATTAAAACATACTCTGAGAGTATTACTCCCTAATGAACAAAGAAGTTGAATCCTGAATTTTACCACTTGCCACTGCCAAAATTCTTAAGGCACACACCTGAACTAGAATAAACTAGCTTTTTCCTAGCAGTGTTCCTGTTTTTCAACAGCAGCTGTCACAACCGCACACCAGCACTAATGCACTTTAGAGAAAGCAAATCCTACACGTAGCACATCTAGTGATGATCACGACAACAGAGGTAAGCAGGAAATCGGAAAGTATTAAACACACCAAAGCCGCACCTACCCACACCGGGGCTACAGCCATAAGCGGTGCCAAGGGGGTCAAGGCTGGAATCTAAAAACCACAGCACCCCGAGCCCAGGCAGAGCTGGGGAGCCAGAGGGGGCCACCCAGCCCCAGCGAAATGCCCTGCACAGCCGGGAGGAGCATCCGGCCGCCCAGAGCAGAAGCCCAGCGCCCCGCACTCACCCCGCGGCGGTGAACGCTTCCCGGGCAGCGAGGGGGCCGCGGGGGGGGCGGCGGGGCGGCCCGCGCAGGGCGCCAGCCGGCGGCTCCTCGCCCAACAACTCGACGGCGGTCACGGCTTTGCCGATGGTGAACCAGTCGCTGATCTGCTCCTCGGTGAGCGCCCGCAGCATGATGGCGGCGGCAAAAAAAAAAAAAAAAACAAAAAAAAAAAACAAAACCAAAACAAAAAAAACAGCCGCACGTGCCTCGCACCACAGCCACCACCCACCGCGCGCGTGCGCGCCACCCCTTTTTCCCGCCCTCGGCCCGGCCCCGCCCCCGTCACGTGCCCCAAGGGCCTCCCGCTGCCGCCACAGCTGAGGGCGGTCGGTCAGGTCCTTCCCGTGCTCTTCCCGGGACAAAGCTCTCCCTTCTCAGCCCCGGCAGGCGTGGGGCAGTCGGTTCCCCCCCCCTCCAAGAACAATGGCTAAAGGTTGCTTTGCCGTTCCCAGTCACCCAGTCTTTCCCGTCGCCTGGAGGAAGTCGCCCACGGGCACATAGGTGACTCAGCCCCCCCCCCCCCCCCCCCCAAATTCGCCCCAGCCGGGGCTTCCCGGTCCCCCAGCACCAGCCATCCTCGAAGTGACGCACTACGTAAAGACTCGCGACAGGCGCTTCCTGCCATCGCCCTTGCCGAGGACGCGCGCTGTGCCCCCTTCTTAGGAAGGAGTGAGGTGCAGGTCGGGCGAAAACGCTGCGGTGAGGGGGACCCAGGGGCTGCGCGTGGGTTTCTCCAGCGACACGAAACCGCGGGCCGGGCGGAGCGGCGGGCTTGGGGGGGGGGGGGGGCGCGCCCGTCCTCCGCAGCAGTAGGGGGCGCTGCGCGGCGGCGGCGCCCCTCTTGGCCCGAAGTCTTCGCTCTTTGGCGCGTGTTTTCCCAGCATCCCCCGCGGCGGTAGTGGAGGCGGTTCCCGCTCCGTGACCTTCGCTGGCGGCTCGGCGCTCCCGCTTGGCACGGTGGGGCCCGAGCGGAGGTGTCCGGCGGGCGTTGCTCGGGAAGGCGGCAGCGGCGGTGGCTGTGGCGGTTCAGCCTCGGAAAGGAGGGGAGGGGGAGGGAAGGAGGCGCTGCCGGAACGCACCCACCGGTGCGGTGAGGCCTCGGGGTCAGGCCCCGCGTGGGCGGCGGGCGGCCCGGGCCGCGGTGGCGCCGTGGCGGGAAGGTCAGTGGGGAAACGGCTGCAGCGTTGTTCTGGGTAGACTTCAGAAAGGCCTGAAGGACGTCGCACCCACCGAGGCCTTGGGGAAAGGTCTCTGCCGGGTTTTAGCGGGGTGTTAATGGGAAATTGCTTTGCTTGTTCTCGGCGTCTTGTAGCAGTGGGAAAATCCTTTCTTTTCAGTGTCATGGTTTGTTAGTATGTCTTGATTCTGCGATTGTGGAGTGACTGCTATTCTGGCACTGTTCATCTGAAAGGACAAACAGTGGAAACTTGGGGGGAGGTGCAGTGTTCCTGCAGTGCTGGTGAAAGCACAGCACTGTTTCAGGAAATCTGACCGCAATAATAAACTTGATTGAAACGTCTGTCCGTAAACAAATACAGATAAATGTGGGTTTGTCTATAATACTATGTTAATTGCCATTAAGATGCTTTCATTCTTTAAGTAGCACCTAGTTTTTTTTCAGTTTTGACATTGGCTACCCTTGCATCCTTTTCTCTTTGATGCTTGCCAAAAGGTGCTTTACTTTTGGTAAAGGTAAATAAGTAAGCAAGCATCTCCTCGCAGAAGTTTAAACTTGATTTTCTCTCCTGGGACTATGGTTTACCATATACTGTCCATATGCATATATAACTGACTTTATTGGGTTGTAATAAGTGTAAATAGTGACTTTACTGGGGTGAAGAGCAGTATGTAAGACAGTACAACAGTGCAGTGTGGTGCAAATGTGTACGAACGTATTGTGTGGGAGTTAGGGTAAGCTTTATTTTAAAGCGTTTTACAGTTTTGTTTGTCTAACAAAGCTGCAGAGAAATGAGAAGAAAAAACATTGTTAGGCCTTATGCTCTTGGGGCATATTTTGAAAGTAAAATATTAATGATAAAACATTAATTCAATAGCTTAACATAATTTACTGTTTTGAGTAGAAATTATCATGTTGGGAGAGACAGCTTTGGGGGAGGGAGGGAAACTGACTTGGTAGTGCAAGGAAGGAGCCTCTCTAGCTTGTCTGGAACAACAAGGCTTTCCTACTGAGAGAATCTGGAAACGTTAAAAAAAAGCTGTCACTGGTAGGGAGAGAGGAGCTAGCTACTGCTACTCTGTAAATGCTCTAGTGAGTCATCTTTGAACCCTTTAATCAGCTGTAATTTATTATTGCTTATTGTCTTAGCCCACAAATTGTAACCTTACCTCTGAATTTTCATTGATTTGCTTTGGTATAAGTACTTTTGAATGTTTGGGGATTTTTTTCTAACCTGTGAACTGTTGCTGATGTGTATCAGGAGTATGTATATACATATATATGTACATATATATTAAAAATATAGCAGGTAAGAATACAATTGCAAAACTCACCATGGCAAAACTTCTTACAATTTTCAGATGGTACAGAGCATGATTCCGAAGTCATTGAGAGCCATGAAGTTCTACTTCACTACCGTATATCAGGAAATATGGGTTGGTGTAGCAATAACAGCTTATATCTACTACAAAATTTCGTATGGTGGTAAGTTGCACATTATAGTCTTCATTAGCTGTTACTTTATAGGTACGAAGATCCTTAACAGTTAGAAATTAGTTATTGCAAATATCCAGCAAATAGGAAATTAACGCTCTTACTTAAGGCCAGGTCTTTGCCATAAAAATTTAGACGTTTTAACGTGCTCAGTGTAGAAGGTTACGCTAACAAGAATACTCAAATACCAGTATAACTATGCCAACATTATGAAGATTAGGTAACATAGGAATTGGTTTTAAAACCACACATCTAACTTGCAATGTGTAGCCAGAGTCTTCTCCTTTAGATTTGTCCTGAAGGGAAATGTAAGACTGTGCTGAACTAGAACTTACTTTGATTAAATTTTTTTTAATCCATATATTTTTGGGGTTTTACTCAAGATGTGCAAAAAACCACAGTTCTTAAAAGGCCTTCCCATGTGAACTTATGAAAGTTAAAGCAGTTGGTTTATTTTGGGCTGATACACCTCAAAATGTGAGGTACATCACTGGACATTAAAATGTGTGTTACTTGGTGATATTGGATCACTTTTGCAGAGGAAGAAACAGAACGTTTAACGGAAAAATAATAAATTTGAGTGGGCCAGGTCCCTCAAAGCAGAAGGGTACAACAGATTATGGTGTCCTAAAGGTCCTGTTCTTCAATTTAGACTTTGCTGAAACACTTTATGAGCTGTCATGAATAATGAAATATTACAAACTGTTGACAAACTTGTCAGGGAAAGTAACCCCTCATGGTGGGAACAGCTGACTGATGTTACCTCAACATTTGTCTGTCTTTGTCCAAATAACTTGCAGCATGTCCAAAAGTGTTATACTGCACTTACAAGCTTAAATAAATGTAAGTAGTTGAATAGTCAGAAAAAAAGTTTAACTTTTGCTTTAACTTCTTTAATTTCAAGGAGAAGTCAGAATTGACAGACTGTTTCAAGTTTGTGTTCTTGCCATGCTATTTTTATTTTCATTTATGATTTAGATAATAGATGTGGTGGTGTAGAGTTTCGAGAGCCAAAACCTTGATATGGGGCAACTGTATGCTAAGCATTATTTTAAAGTGAAAATAGCTTTTAATAGCTGTGGCCCTTTGCACAGTGTGGGGAACAGTTTTGCAAATAATACATATATTTATAGAAGAGCATGTATAATTTAGATTGCAAGTGACCTCTGGATCTTACCTGGTCCAAACCACTGCTTAAAGTAGTTAGATCAAAGTTAGATCAGGTTGCTCATGGCTTTATACATAATTCAGATTCATATTTCTAAGGCAGGAGACTGCACAACCTCTGCTGTTTGTCTTCCTTAAGAAAAATTTTTTCCATCTATTTTTGTCTGATCACTGTGAATCACTGTTTTAAGAGAACAATTACAATGGGAATGTAAAATAAGCTATTTTACTTACAAAGGAAGATTTTAAATCAAACTGTATTCTTAGCACTTCAGTTTACATACATATGTTGTGTGTATATATAGCCATATATTATGGAAAATAGTACCATTCTGTATACGTTTCGAGTTACAGTAGGAGTCTTGATGGCTACAATTTCTAAATGCATGGAGTCTTCGTTAATTAAAAACAAACAACTTCTAAAAAAATCAAAGTAACATTTACTGACATGTACCATGGGAAGTACCTGTCGTACACTTTTTAAATCTCGTTCAAGCTAAACAAATCAGAAGTAGTATAATCTAATTGAAGTTTATCTGCAAAAAATAAATAGGAAATATTTTTTTTAAACTGTTGCTGTTCAGCTTGGTTTTTTTCTTTTTTTCCAGGCAAAAAAGCAGTGGCAGATAGTAAGTATGAAGTATCTAATACCCTGCTGTATTTTTTAAGAGTGCAGTAAAAATTAGCCAAGCATATTTTAGTTAAGTTATGGATTTAGAAAAAGTTTAAAGACTACTTCAAAATCTGTAGTTTTGGTTATATTAATGGTTTTCTAACCTAGAAACATCTGTGAATCTGGACAGATGCTACCTCTGTCTTAAATTGCCCTTTGCATGGGTTTTAGCAGTAGAAGTCATATGCCTTGACTGGGTGGGGGGGAATTATTTAAAATAATAGTAAGAACGATTTAATAGAATTACTTAAATCAGCATGATCTCAAGAGTCGCTGCTATTGTAGCTGTCAAGAAACTCAGAAGTTTAAACTTGTATTCTGAATTTGTATTTTTATATCTTCTGTGAAGTGGTGTGTAGATATATATGGACAGCTGCTTCTGACATTGCATTGGAATTTAATTTTTCCTGAGCACCTATATCTCTGTTAACTTTCTTCACTGTGAAATATAAACCATTTGTTCCTAGTTGAATTTGTATATGCAAATATTATTTACATTTTAAAATGTGTATTTAGTGAAAATACTGCCTAGTAGACTTAAGGATAAAAGGATAAATAAACTTTAATTTAGAAAGAACCATACCAAAAGTGAGGAAGAATGGATGTTTGCCTGTAGGAGCGCTTTAAAACTCGTGAAAGATGATGTTTAGTATTGGCCAACTTTATGTATGTAGTTTGAGGGTTTTGTTTCATTTGACAGGGCAGTTGAATCTGCCAGTTCTTGTGCTCGATGTAGATACAGTTGTCTGTTCTAGGTTCTGAACTACAGTCCGGAATTGATTTGCTTTACTGTTTGAACAGTCTAAATGGTGTCTTTGTTTCAGAGTCCTCTGATGCTGGCCAGCATTAAAGACCTCTTCTCTTCTTCGAGTATGGATTTTGTTGTTCGTCATCTTTGCCATTGTAAATGAAGCAAGTTACAACCATAGGGAATTTAATTCTAAGACTGTACTTGATCCATCTGCTGTAATTACAGAAAGAATAAATTCATTGAGCAACAAGGAATTAAACATGTTGGACAAAGTATGCGGAGTGTACTGTTAACCTAATTTTTACAATAAGCATTTTTTGTTTTCTACAATTCTTCCAAGTTCCATGTGAAATTCTTTCAGTAATACTTTGAAAAAAACCCCAGATTTCTGTAACCAAACTTAATAGAATTAGCCAACACTTGTTACAGTAGCACTAAGCCTTTTTTTTTTTTTTTTTTCCTAATGGTATCTTTTTTTTGGCTAGAACTTTTGAAATACTCCATTTACTTTTAAAATGTCATTTAATAGTATGTCCAGTGTGAGGACTTAATTCTTAGCGTTTTGTCAACTGGTGGTACAGCAATTAAGGGTACAAAAAATTCTTTTTAAAACCTTACATTTTTTTAAAGAGTTTTTAAACCTTGCAGAAGTAAAAGCAACAGCTGTATTTTTATTAACACACCATGCAAGATGCTTACAGAGATTTTTAAACACTACATTATTGGCAACTGTATTTTTTTTGTCCTTCATATAAAGGAAGAGCCTTTCAGAATAATTCCTTACCTCTACTGAAGTCACAAATTTTATAAAGGACTAAGTAACTACATGCCCATATTGTATGAGAAAATTATTATATCTGCTCCCTGAACTCATGAAAATCTCAGAATTTAAAGGCAATAATGAAATCACACGCCGTGGCAGCAGTTAATATGAGCATAAACATTTAACTGACTTGAAAAGAGTTTTCCTTTTTTCTCAAAATTTATAAGTAATATATGTGTTACTAGGATGGGTCATTAGTGGGTTTTGCAGATAGCTGTTAAAGTAATTCCATAGCTAGTATTGTATTTTGGAGATTCTAGGAACCTGTGCTATCTTACAAAAATCAGTTTTTAGAACTGTATTCTGAATTCTGTACCAAGGATACATAACGTATAAAACCAAATTGGACTTCGTGTCATGTTTTGTTTAAATTTAGCCTAATCTGCTTTTGAGAAGATTAAGAGACTTAAGTAATTTTAATGACTTAATGCTTACATACATCTTTTTAACTACTTCACTGAAACATCTTTCAACTTGATTAAAGTTTTGCTTTTCAATCTCTCTGACTGCAGTATCTGGCCATAACTTAAATATTTTGTATTTGACTGCTGAGGTGCTTGATAACCTTACCTGCTGATGGTAAACATCCCAAACACCGTGTTGCCTTTACTTCCTTCAAAATTTATAGCTATACCTACTATGAGTAGATTAAAATTAGCAGTCCTATTTCTCTGGAAGCTTTTTTTAAAAAGGCAGGTATAGCATTCTCAATTTGAAAAGAACAGATGACATCTTTCATGCATTCTTGACATTTATTCCACCTTCTGGAGATTTCCTTGTTGCATCTTCCCTTGATATTTTAGCTGATTCTTTCATCCCTTTCATCATTTCTGTATGGATTTTTCAGTGTTTTCTCACCGCAGAAGAATGAGAAGTAGAACTCACTATTTGTTTCTTCACATAAAACCAAAAGCATGCAGTAGGGAACAGAGAATAAGAACCAGAAGAAAATGGAGCTTCAAATGAACAGATATTAGGCCAGTAGTGATTACAGGGTGGGTCAGAGTTGTGGTATAGTTAATAAGTGGTTCAGAATTAAAATTTATGCCAGGTAAAGAGCTATACATGCATTTGTAATGCAAATTTATGATCACTAAGTTATAGTTCCTAAGATCCTACACATACTTCAAATGGCCTGCTTTAGCAATTTTCAATTACAGAGCTGAGGAAAACAAGCTAGGGAAAAAACATTAATCACTGCAGGGTTTGCTTCACCTTACCTAGAACCTAGCAGACTGGGGCTGAGCTACAGCAACACACTGTCTGATCTAGATGTTAATTGGAAAGCAAGAGTTGCTTCTGCTAAGCTGTCCTTGGAGCACAGTTAACTGCACTTCTAGGTAAACTTAAATCTACTTCAGCTCAACACTTCCTTGTATCTGACCTTGATTTTTCTGGGCAGCAATGTCTTGGTTATGAAAACTACAATTTCTACTGAACTAATGCTATCTGCAAGCGCTTCTTCCATTAGTGCACCTCTGTCAGAAATTTCTATGAAGGTTGCAGAACGTTCCTTCCTGTTTCTGATTCTTACTTAACACACAAATCTGTGCAAAAGGGAAGTAAAACTGGTATTTATTTTTAAATACGTTTTTACTTTAGTAGGATACAGGAGGAGGAAATTAACTTTTAGTCAGTACCTTCTCTCAAAAAGCAGAAATCTACACACGGTAATGTGTAACCCCTGTAGTACTATCTGTATACTACGTGCTCCTCTGTGCTGAAGCATACCAGGTGGTATAAAAGACAAGAAACTTAGCTAAGGTATTGTAAGTGCTACTTCTTATTTACAGTGAGTTGTGGAAGGAGTAATGAGTTTTCTTTGCAGCACTGGCACTGAGTATAGCCCTGGGTAGAGAAGCATTGCAGAGGAGTACCCTTGAAGTGAATACTCTTAGAATATATGCCTTTTTTTTCTAATTTAGCCAAGGTAATTTCCAAAGCTTACTTAAAATAAAAAGGTTCTCTTATTCCAGGTGAGTGTCTATAGACAAGCCTCAGCTCCTGAACAAACCCATTTTCTATGTAAATGACTATTTAAGATCAGGACTTTAATCCATAGAAGTAATGTTCATCATGATTCGCAATTAAACACTGGTGCGGGGAATGCTTACTGCTCATTGATGGATCATGTTGTTTCCATTTAGCTGCTGCCTCTTTATATTGTTGACATTTCTAAAACGAGAGCATTACATTTAAACTTTGTAGTAACATAGTTCAGCAACTGCATTTTTAATTTCTTGCCTCTGATAAAGCATCAGGAATGACAAAGTGACTGTTTACTACCTTTGCAGTGTTAGTGGAACGACAAACTCCTACAGGGGTTGAAAAGCCTCACCCAATTACTGCACTGCCATCTTGACCAAGTTTTGCTGTGGCATTGGTAATTCTCTGGTTTTGAATTGATACAGAACATAAAAGCTCAGCAGTAGGGAGCTGTATTAATAATAACAATGCTAATGCAAGATGTGGTCTTTTTTCAATACAAGTTCTCTGTTTGCCCCTCCCAGCTGGACCCTACTTATGGCCAGGATTTCTTATTGTGGAGCTCTGAGGTTTCTAGAACATTCTCAAGTGTTGTCCTATAATTAGGAATCTTGGAGTATCCCCTGCATGCTAATCAAGTAGTATGGAATACTCTAGGGGAGCAGCAAAATACAGTCAGAGCTAAGGAAACATTAGTCACAGGGCCCAACCTACTTAACCTTATTAATGGCTAACTTGGGAAAAACACCAAATGTGTATTCATGTTAATTGGGAGGATGAGTAAAGTTGCAGGAAATGATCTAAAGTAACTAAAACAGCTGAACTGGGCTCCTCCTTATCTGATTCATGATAGCAAACCAGTTTGTGGTACAAATAGAGCCTGATACAGAGCTGGTATGTACATGTGTATTGAATTCAGTCCCCAAGGAAGGAAAAGTATCAGGTGCTTGTTAGACCCAGGTGATTATACGTGACATCACCACCAGATGGCTGAAATGAAACCGAGGAAATCAATGTGTGAGATCTCTATTGTTTCATTCATGGAAATCTGTAAAGCTACTAGGAAGGAAAGAGTAGGAAGATGGAGATTCCCTGAGGCGTTAAATATGTTGGTTAGCAATTTGGTAAAGGGTAGAACAAGACATGACAAGATAGTGCTTGAACAGCAGGCTCTTCATAGTGTAATTCTGTGACCTTTAGCAACTACCATTGAGCAGCTAATATTCTCTTTAAGAATATTAAGCCATGTGACTCCGATTTGGTAATTTATGAAGAACTTGTAAACAAGAAATTCCTGTAGTCTACTTCACTGCTGCAGGCAAACTACTTGGAAACAATAACTCAAAATGAACTGACCACCACAAGAGTGGAGTATTTGGAAGTTATAATTAAGTTGTGCTAAGGATACTATGATGTCTTTGACTGTGGTTTAACAGTGTGAGTACTCTGGCAGCTACACCAGCTTGTGGAGTTTCCACCCCTATACCACAGTGCCTTGCTCCTCATAGTTGCACTGATAAAACTATTTGTGAATCTGATCAGGCAATTTTTCATAATTTTAGGGGATTTTCCCGTCTAAAATAACAAAACAAACACTCAGGGTTTTTTTCTGTTTTATTTTGGGTCCATCTTCTGATCGTGTTTACATCAAAGCTGCTTTTAATTTGCATTACAGCACATTAGCATTAGGGGGGGTTGTAGAAAAAGAGGCAGAAGAATCAAAATTCCTAGCTTCCCATTCATTCACTGAGCTTTCCTAAGTTATTGTGTCTCTTACAATAATTCAGTGCAAGCTTCCTTCTCATACCCAGCTACACACATGATCAAAGTACTGTCTCTCCCCTATGAACTGTCATCACTGTCAACACACACAGGAGTATAAAGAATGCAGAACTCCACCCTGTATACAAATCAGAAATGTCAGCTTATGCTTCAGCAAAAAGGCAGAACCTTGCTCCCTTGAGCTGTGACAGCACATCTCTTTCTGGAGTTAATAGTATCAATTAATTGGGACAAACGAACAAATAAGTAGGGAACAGGGAGAACAGCTGTACCACAATATATGAATGCTCAATACTTGCAGGAAGAATACATTTAGTAGTAAAGGATGAATTTGGTAGTGGTTCTTCAAATCATATTGTTTGTCATCAAATGAAAATATACTTTTAATTATTATCAGCTTCAAAAACCTAAAGTAACTTTCTTTAATTGATGCAACATTGAACTGTTTGATATCTGTATCATAATAGTAACTTCAGCTAGATGCTGGAACAGGCAATAGAGATTTCTGCAGAGCTAATGAAGTGTGTTTGCTAGGAAATGATAATAGGGATTATGTGGGTGGCAGAACTAACAGCAGTATACTGAATGAATCCCATCTGTGATGACTACTGCTGCCTACACAGATTTTTCCTGCAGTATCAGTTGTAGTCTTCATTTCTTGTTTTAACCTGTTGTGTTTAGCATGCTTTTGATAATACCAACAATTGCTGCAATTAATGGGGAATTCTTTAGGTATGAAGTAGAAACTGTTGTGAGATGTTTCCTATGGAATGCTATATAAACATAAACAAGCAAAACAGCAACAACTGAACTGAATACAGCCACAGTATTATGGGAAGAAAACCACGGGATTCAGAAAGTGGATTAGAATGTGAACAGGCATTTGATACGGGCCCAAGAATACACAGAAGGATACCCTTTTTTGGGGGGGATCTCATCAAAAGCATTTCCACATTTATAATTAACTCCATTCTTTATCTTGAGGATATATATAGCAGTCTCAAGCTCTACTTTTTCTGCAGCACTACTAGTGACTTTTTACCCTTGTTGCTTCAGGTACATCTTTTAATTTAGCGTACTTGTACAGAAAAATAACCTTGTTTAAATTCTCTATACCTGACATTACAGTTCTCTCCTTATGTTATATATCACATAAAGCTTGAAAAGAAAATCGGTTTGGGCCCAGTAAGGACCTCAAGACACTTCTTTAAAATGATTAGCAAAAATTCAAATTATACATTTCCTTCAGTAAGCTAAGAATTGGAATCATACCAGTTTTAACATAGGATCTGACTCTTGTTTCAGTAAACACTGAGATGTAAATACTTCTAAGCATGCTTTGATTTAGTTAATTCTTTCGGAATAATACAACTAGAAAAGGAATCTTGCCAAAAATATTTTTACTTTGCTTTCAAATTATGTATTCTTATTAATGCCAGCTATCACACCTCTTTTTAAATTAAGGCTACTAATTGAAACATGTACTGAGACCTGTCTAGGAGGACAGAAACAGAAGGCAAGAAAAAAAACAATAGTGTAGAACTTTCACGTAGCAATTAGAAGAAAACAATAAAATAGTCAAGTTACTTTACCTTGTGCTGTAGCTTGTCCATTTATACAACAGAAATACTGGTTTTGAATTTGAGACCTAAGCAATAAACAAACATTGAAAGTAGCATCTAATCCCCAAGTAAGTAGGTTATTACTGTGTATATTCCTCCACGACAAACACAGTCCTTTCCAGTCTTTCAAATCTTCTGAGGCTCAGCTGCATATTATGATATCCTTTTTGAATAAATCAACCTAAAATAGATTCTGAACACATACCAGTGATACATTTTCTACTGTCGCTATTTCTAGGGCTTTTCACGGAGTCATTTTCAATAGGGTTCCATCAATGTCCTGTACAATTCATCTCCCTTTACCGTTGACATTCTTCTGTTTATGCAGCTAAGAACTGCAATAAACCTTGCTGTAGGATCACAACAGTAAAAATAAAAATTAATCGGCAAAATATTTCTGGAAGATTACAAACCAAGGCACTAAGAGGCAAAATCAACTTGTCTCATTAATGTTCCCAAGACTGGAACATCATTACTTTACCTGGAAAAGGAATATTTATACAAACAGAAAGGATGAACCTTAAGCATCATTAAGGCATAAAACATTTTTTTTTAACAATGTTAAAACCATCACTGCAAATGTCTTGGATTACATCTGCTGGTCAGATAATCTGAGTGCAGCTGCTCTTTATAAAAATGAATTATTAAAAAAGTATCTGTGACGGAGAAACTCAGCTTCACAATAAACTGTAGACACCTGTATAGAAGACAGCCATGCTCTGGCAATTTTTGGTAAATAAAAAGCCACAAAAGCAATCACTTAAGGTGTTGGGAATTTTAGGTATATATATGTGAGATAGATATAGAGATATATATATATATCTCTATAGTGCACAGCTTTTGCAGAGGTATTTCTTAAATCATTACCATATCCTGTTTCACAACTGTAATGATGTTTTATTTAAACAGATTCAATACTCTCTACTGTATTTTTGGAGAAAACTTACCTTGTGTATTCTAACCTGTAAAGTCTGTGAATACACACCAAAAAAAAAAAAAGGTAAATAATGTTATTTCCAGTAGTGTAGTCTTAATAATGTAATTGTTTGAATACTAAGTATAAACAGATTATTTTTTTAAAAACTTAAAATTTAATTTGGTTTATAATTTATTTCTCCTCCTGTGAGTATTCTTCTGCTCAGAGACATGTTTTTCTCTCCAAGCCTCCTTTGCACATCACCTTGTCACGGTAATTGCTGAAAAACACCTCCCAGTATATCCCAGACTTCAGGGTCAGCAGAGGCCTTTCCTCATCTCCCCTTCTGAACTACAGTCCTTCAAATTCACAGATTACCAGCTAGAAGAGCAGGAAGCATGAGCTCCATTATGTTATAACCTCTGCATATTTTTTCTTATTAGATTGACATACCTCGAGTAAGATAACCAACAAAAAGACATATTCTAGAAGAAGATGGACATTTCAAATCAGGAATTACTGAGTTTGAATATGGGAATAATACAAATTTAACATGAAAACAAACCTGCATCTGATCCAGCAGTAAACATAATAAAAGAAAGCAGATTATTTTCAATTACAGTAAATAAAGTAGTTGCTCATCTTAAACAAGAAAGTGATGGTTAAGAGTTGACTATTAGCTGCCCACCATTTTTGCAGCAAGGGTAAAAACTAATCATGTATCACAGAATTAGGCCTTTAGCTGAGAGAGGAAATATTTGAAATCACTTCATACAGAAATCGTTAAAAACACCTTAGTACTTGACTCACTAAATCATGGCTGAGATACATGAGAACAATTTTAAACTTTGAATAACAAATGAAATGGCCGGACTCAATCTTAAAACATGACCCATCATTTTTCCACTCAAACTTTAGGCAAGTGGTACACCCAAAACGAAGTGGCATATGAAAAAAGGAGTGAAGACTGTATGATTGACTTGTTATTCTATCGCCTCACTAATTAACATTTCAACTAATAACCCACCATCTAGTCAGTCATAGATACTTCCTTTCATCATGGGCATATTGGAAATGTAAGAAGAATGATTTTTGTAAAGAAATGTCTTGTGAGCCCAAATGGTTATAAATGTAAAGGTACAAGCAGAGAGGACCTCTCCAGGGCATGTAGGTTTTTGTTTTCTCTGCCCCTTCAAATACAGTTAATGGTTTCATCATTATAAATTACAGGAGAGCAGATCGAGATTTTCCATCTGTAAAAACAATGGCATGTAATCTGTCGCAGAGAACCGTATCTTCTGTAGCTACAACATAAAACATTTAGAACACCTATTAGTGTAAGAATTGTGTAAGAGTGTATAGCAACACATTCCTAATGAGGCCACCGCATTCTCCACTAAGTACACTCTTCTGCATCGTGTATTGGATTAAGCATAGAATTTATGTTATTGTTTAAAGAAATCACATCTCTAATCCACCAAATGCAGAGCTGAAACACATGACTTATCAGGCACTTAAATCCCCAGGAAATGCACACAGCTATGCTATATACAGATCATCTGGCTTCACTTCTGCCTTAATTATTAGTCCTTTTCAGAATGATGCACTGAGTGGATTGTGTTATGGAAACTTCAGAACATTAGTCATCTAGTTCAGCATACATTAGAATATTAGAAGGTAGTGTTGAAAAAGTATCTTCTGTTCACGTGTCTCAAATACTGTATACAAAACAGACATCAAAGTGTTTCCTTTGGATTATTATTTATAGTTTATCTCTGAACAGGTCTGGTGGGGTTTAAAGCGCACTGACTGTCTATGAATTCAAACATGGCAGCATATGACTATTGTTCCATACGAATTCCTTAGGAAGGCAGCTTGATTCTGTAATGAGAGGTTACTTAAGGCCACAGTAACGAATTAAAAGACCTTTCCTTTAAATATACACACTTATTTTACACAGTATTTCACTAAAAATTTTAGGCGACCTGCTGTGAAACTCTCCTTGAAATACTTAGTCTTTTTGTCTGTATCATCTGTTACGTAGCACTGCACCTGCATGTTAACTGCCTGGCAAGTTAGACTTCGTGACTCAACTTCAAAAATGGCTTACTCATGGCCAGTTCCTCCTGCATTACAGCAAATGCAAAATGTAATTTTCAAAAGGAGAATTGTATTCTGCAATAAAGTAATCCACTCTTTCGTTTAGAAAAGATACATTATTTTTTTTTGTGATACACATATACAAAAACCCAAACACTCCTACTCATTCACTTTTTAGAGATTTTATTCTGCCAGTCGTGAGGAAACCCATCCTGACTGCAGCCACCCAAAAGTCTGCTCTCTAATCTGAGCTAGTCATCCAGGCTCCATCTTAAATCAATAGAGAGATAGGCACCTTCAAAGACCAAGTGATTTAGACAGTGGGATGAGTATCAGCAGGGAATGAATTGCCTCCAGAACGGCCTCTCTCCCTTCCCCCTCCATCCCAATTTATCTGTAGAAGGAGCCTAGATGACTGATTGAGACTATGCACCTAACTTCTAGATTATTAAAGCTGTGTAAGTTGGATCCCATCCTAAATGTTTGACCTCTGAGACTGTTTCTGGCTATAAATAGGAGTACCACTTATTCAAAATAATACCATATGAAAAGCGTTAAATTAATTAAAAATAAACACTTACTTTCCTGTGACATCTCCAAAGCCTGAAAACATTTTCCTATGCTCCAGAAAAGCATTTTAACAAGTTAATGCAAAACTGAAGAAAACTTGGATCTGACAAGGTAGGAAAGCTCATTTTCCTCCTTTTGTCTATGCATAAAGAAGTGGAAGAGATCCAGACCTGGCAGTTTTAAAAACATCTACATCTGAAAATCTCTCTAGAAGATAATTAAGTAGGAGTTGAAACTTTATCAGAAGGGCTCCTGAAAATCTCATTAGTCTTCCACCTGTATCTTTGGGAATCTCTGCTTGTTCTAAAAATAACGTTGTACATGATCAAATAAGAGGGCTGCCAATTTCTTAATTGTACTTAATATCCCTTTTTTCAATAAATCTAGGTTAAATACAAAATACATTTTGATAATTTTTCCCTATGTACCCATAAATATCAAGTATTCCAGCAAAACACTAAAATGATAGTTTATACATCTCAATTTCTAGCTAAACATAAGCTCAGCAAAAATCTCAAAAACTAATCATACCATAACTAATAAACAGTAATTCTTTGGTTTTTATGTCGTAAATTGAATAAATGTCTGTTAAGCTATAGTGACTTCAATTTGTAAAGTTAAATAGTATTGCTGGGCTTTTTTTAAGAAAAAGAGGAGTGTAAAAGGTATTTGCACAACCTGCTTTAATACTTATACCAACAAATAAGCACAAACCCTTTCCTTTAGGAAAAGGTCAGCAAAATTGGAGCACTTCTCACCAAGGCAACGTATATGGAAGTGAATAATTTGGGTTCTGTATCTCTGGCTTTATCTGCTTCCATAACCAAATTCTGTTACCTTATCTTCTTAGGCATTCCCCAAATCATGACTGCTTTCAGACAACCTCACTTACCTAAAACAGGCAACTAACATGTAGATATCACCGGCCCCTTTGGCTAAGCAACATAATTTCTACAAAGTTAGACCAGTCATTTGGTATGAAAATGTGTAGGCAATGGGGGAAAAAAAAAAAAAATCTACATTATTACAAGTGACCATTTTCCTGATCACAGTAAACAAAACATTTGGAATCAGAATAACTTGGAATCAGAAGATATTATATTGGCTGCTCTGTCCCCTTGACTGCTAGAAGATCAGTGCCCAAAAAGATTCTTCTGTGGGAGAGATGTTAATTAATTAATCACACTGCAGGTAGAATTTTAAGTCTTATGCTTTGTAAATATTGGTTAATTATTTTTTTCTTTCCTTATTTCTATGGGAAAATGGGATGGGAAGGGGTGAGGCAAGTGAGCTTTTTCAAGGGAAGCAGAAATAGGAATAGTAACAGACTTGCACATAAAGTAAGTACTCTACCTTTTGAAGACATTTCCTCTTGGTCACAGTATCCAGCCTGCCTGGCTGCTGCACTGGCTGAAAGTATCTGCCAAAAGCAACGTGAGGTTGGTTAACTTTTATACTAGAGGCCATTATTCCAACAGAGGCATTGCATGGAGGAGTGCCTTCCTTCCCAGTAGCAACTGTCCACACTATATTCTTCCACTTTCCACTTTGTCACCATTCCTGCTGTTGCAATGGAAAGTAATAGTATGGTAATACTTGTAGTATTTTAGCTATTATTATTAATCACTGAAAGCAGGGAGCTATAAACTATACCTACAAAGAAATTATAGACCATCATTTAAGAATCACTGGCAAAAAATCTAACCTGGTTAATAAGACAGTAATTTTTAAAGAACGAGCGTGACAAAAGGCGCACAATCCACTTGTTAAAATTGGAATTTCACCACAAATCATAAGACAAGTACATTTCTATTCACTGCTATTCTTTCATTCACTGCAGTTCAGTATGAAATTGATGAAGATAAATTCTCCCTCTTTTTTTTTTTCTCCTTAAGATACATAATTATGATCACGTTATAGCCTGTTTCATTTCAGGTCTGCCTAGTTGCAGGGCTAATACTATTATTCAGAGTAGATCTTGGAGGTCTCCAGTGGGTCTGAAGTATCACAGTCTTACCTATTTCCAAAGCTGAGTGAGCAAGGTAGAATTACAGTTTACAAGAAACTGAGTATGATAATAGCATTATTGTCAGCAAGTAGCACTCCAAATAGCACTTACAAAATAATTTTAAACTCATAATTATCTTGTGATGCTAATAGATTTTTCCTGTAGGGCCAATTTATTAAAAGAAGCAGAGCTTTGATCTGTATCACTGGGTTGACACCAGAGCCTGCCAATACACTGACAAGGATATGCAATGAAATCTTCAGCATGTAGATACTAAGATAATTTCCACAATTATCTGTTATAGAATCTTGCATTAATAGGTTACATTAATGTATAAGCTTGTATTTGAGATTTATATGCTATTATCACTTACCCTTCGAGATTTACACAAACAATATCTAAGCTCCTCTCAAAAACTTGACAACTTACTGTTTTTTTCACTCCTAGCTGAGATTTATCATGGAGTTCTACAAGTAAAGTAACAAAGTCTGGAAACCAGCCATTTACAGCAACAGTTGAAACACTGGGTAGGTCCACGTATTTTGTAGATTAGGATTTCAGACTCACAGCAATATGAAATTTGTCTACATTGCATGTGTTGCAGCACTAACATATGTTGATGTTTTGACTTAGAGTTGAGCTTGACTTCTTCCAAGCTGTTAACTTTCATCTCGCTCTTGTAGCTCTACAGAATGAGACCCCAGAAAACGAAGAAACTAACCCTGACTTTCAAACACGGGACCCCATCTCATCGGAGCCCGACACCAGGGTCCCGGGCAGAAACGCCTGCTCTCCTGCTGTTAAGCGGGGTTTTGGAGATCAGTTTTCACAAGTACCGCACGGGTGAAGGCACGGCAGGCGTGACGTTATCCTGCCCCCCACGACCCGCGCTGCCCCGGGGTGTGTTCCAGGAGACCGCGACCGGCCATGGGGAAAGGCCCCCCCCCCCCGCCCACCCGCCGGCCTTACCTCCCGGGCGCGGGCTGACACCCTGGCACGCCCGTCTTCCCGTGGGAGACCAACAACCCCCGCGTCATCTCCCGGCTCCCACCCGAGGGGTCCCCGCGCACCCGCCGGGTCGCGCTTCGGCTCCTCCGCGGCCCAGCGCGCAGCTCCAGCGGCCGCGCTCCCGCCCGCCCGCGCAGCGGTGGAGCCGGGCCGGGCCGGGCCGGGCCGGGCCGGGCGGAGCCGCCTCCGCACGCCCCGCGTTCCACGGGCAAAAATCGCTCCCGGCCGCTGGCCCTTCCTCCAACGCCGGGGCCCGCGGGCAACCGGCCCCGGGCAGCCCGCCCCGAGGGGGCCCGGCCTGAGGACAGGGCGGAGGAAACTGGGCCCGGAGCGAGGGGGAAGGGGGGGGGGGGGCGCGGGCGCGGGAGGAACCGGCGGGACAGAGCCCACGCGAAACACGAAGCTGGGGGGGTGTCGCGGCGGGACGGCGAGCGCCCCTGACGGCGCCCGCGGTCACGTGCAGCGCCGGAGCGGGCGCGCCCCCGCTCCCCCCCCCCCCCATGCAGGGCCGCGCGCGCAAGCGCCCCGCCCCCCCCGCTTCTTCCCGCCTCGGCCAATGAGGGCGCGGCGGCTGTTAACCCCTGGCTGGGCGGCGCGGGCGGAGCGGAGCAGGAAGCGCCTGAGGGAAGGAGGCAGGGAAGGCAGGGAGGCCGCTGCCGCGCTGAGGAGGAGGAGGAGGAGGAAGGGGGCTGGGAGCTCGGCCGCCGCCGCCTTCACTTCTTCCTTCCGCCCGCTGTGGGGAGCGAGGCGGGCGGGAGGCACCTGTCACAGCCGCCAGGGCGAGCTCGGCGTCCTCCGCGGTGAGAGGCGGCGGCGGGAGAGGCCCGGCACGGCGCGGCAGCGGCGACGGCGGCAGCCTCGGCGGGGCTGGCTGGGGGGTGGCTGCCGAGATGATGCCGGTGAGTGGGACAAGGGGCTGAGTTCGCGTCGTCGCCTTCCCGGCCCGGCGCCGCTCTGCCGGGCGGTGGGACGCCTCGCCTTTTCCTGCGGGGCCGGCGGCGGATGGAGTGCGCGGCGCCGCCGTCATCCCCGCCGTGTGCCCCGGCCAGCCGGCGGCTGAGGGCGACGGTGCTGCGGAGCCGCCGTCGGGCTCCCCGCCGGGGGTGGGGCCGCCGTCCCTGGCTACCTGGGGTGAGGGGACACACACACACACACACGCACACACACGCACACACACGACCTCCTCCCGCTTCTCCCCTCAGCGAGGGGCTGCCGCTCCCCTCCGCCGGCCCAGCCGCTCTCGACGCTGCCCCGACCGTGACAGGTCGAGGGCCGCGTCCCCCCAGGCTCAGCCCGGCGGCTCCTTCCCCGGCGCCCTCCTGCGCCCGCGGCAGTTCCGGCGAGGGGCAGCGGCGAGCGCGGGTTTCGCCGTCCGGGTATCGGCCGGCGAGGCCCGGCGTGACGCGTGGGTGGGTTTTCTGTGTTTGCGTGAGTGGGGTGTGTGTTATTATGTTTGTTTGTTTGTTTGTTTTTCCCCTTCCCAGCGCGGGTTTTTGGCCGCCCGGGAGCGGGGCAGGGTCAGGCAGTCCCGGGGCGGGCGGCTCTGGCCCTTTGGCCGCTCGTCGGGCGGGCGCGGGTGGCAGCTTCATTTCAGCCTCCCCACCTCTGAGGGAAAGGCGGTCTCCCTCTTCGGTTTCTGCCGCCTCTTTTGTGAAACCGTCGCTTATTTATCGAAGATAAAACATTTAATTTTCCTGCAAACAACCTTGATTGTCTTCTGTGATAGAATCTCTCTCGGTTTCCTTCCCCTCTTTCCCTCCCCCTTTCGCTGGGGGCTGATGCAGTGGTCAGAAGAGAGTTGCTCTTGATGACTGTTCGTTTTATGACAGGATGCTTTGAGACTGAGTAATAAACAATTACATTCTTTTTGTTGATTTCTTTTAAACTCTATTTGATCTCAGATGGTGGTTAATGGGATGCTCCATATACGGGAGTATCTCCTATGTTTTCTTTAATTCCAATAGAAATGAGCTTTTTATTTACAGTTCCTCTGCAGTGTTTGCAACTGAAGCACTGCAGCAGAATGCTTCTCGGTGAGAAGATTAAAGACATTTTTTACAAAATTGTATTGCTCTAACTTTTTTTTATGACTGAGAGGAGGATGTAAATAGCTCAAACTAGATGTAAAATTTCAGATTGAAGACTACAGGTAGTGTTTAAAAAACAGGTATTATAACAAGCTTTTTAACTTGATGTGCTCCCTAACTTCCAACTGCTAGGTACTAAAATGTTCTACGATACTGTATAGGAATTTAAGTGTGCTAGGCACACTAGAAACCAGCAACAAAGTTCACTGAGTTACAGACTTATTCCTTAAAGATATGGATGTTAGCTTGTAAAAACAAAACCAAGATGATTGTCAGCTTTTTCAGCTTCTGTCGCAACTTGGGTTATGCTTTACATTCATAAAATTCCTATTGAAAACCTAACATGCCAATGACAGCCTAAGTCAGAACAAATGCATTTGCTTCCCATTAATAACCCACATGAGGGTTTCAGGCTAATGTCATAAATTCCATAGTGTGGTGATTGACTTACATTTTTTTTTACCTATTTGAGTGTTTCTGCAGTGTTTTTTGTTACCTTCATGGTTGTTTAAACGTAGCTGTTGTTTGTGCTTCTTGGAAGGCGTTACGAGATTCAGACTTCTTATTGTGTTTTTGGAACATGCTTCAAAGCATTTTTAATACTGATGGCTGAAGTTTCATAAAAACAAATTATCTTGCTACAATGGTAGTAATGTTGCAGATTAGAGCTTACTGAGTCTGAATCCTAAAATGATACATATTTTACTTTTCTGAAGAGCTTTTAGATGCTGTTATGGACAGTTTCATAAGGTACTCAGGAATACGTGTATTGAAATGGACGCTGTGACAGTGCCTTTAGTCTTGCAGTTTCTCATTCCCATCTATTATATTTCTGGACTGCAAGGATGAAAAAAAACAACCCCATTTACTGGAAAAATCATCATATAATATCAAAATAATGTGAACATATGGTTGTAGAACTGGATCAAATGTTTTGGGGTTTTTTACTTGATTTAGTATTCTGAAAAGGGAAAAGCTAGAGATCTAACTTACATGATGAAATTCATTGAAGCTTTTTTTCTCCCTGATCCTGTTTTTTCTTTTTTTTTTTTTTTTTTATGATTCACAAAAATATATAATGGCAAGAGAAGGTACTTTAATACTACTAGACTTGAACTGTTATAACAAGTGGGTATCACTACAGTTTTGTGTCAACAACTTAAAAAAGTTTGATAACATTTCATTTTAGTTTCTTAAGATTTGTATTTATCAGACTTGAAGTAATTGATTTGAGGCCGTTTTTGGATTGGTAGTTTTTTTACATCCCATACAACCACTTTTAAGAATGAAGTCATATCTGATTGAAGCATAGAGAATGGAATTACCTGTTTCCCTCTTTTCCTGTGTTTTGTCAGTGGTGATTTTTTTATTTTTTTTTTCCACATGGGGAACGGGGTTACTTCTGAGAGAAGTATCATTTTTTGATATAATCGTAACTTTTATCAGTTATGATTTCTTTTGTGACTAGGATACCTCCCTCTCTGTTCCTTAGCATCCTTTCCATATAATGCTTATTCTACTTTGTTTTTGAAAAATATAAAAATAACTCTATTCTTGGTCCTGAACACAGTTGGGCTTCAGGAAGTAATAATGATGTGGACTGCACTTTTCTCACCCGTTGTTTTTTGCTTTGCTAACAAGGCACATCCATCATAAATTCTTTCATTGCCTTCAGGACATAAGGGCCATGTGTATGATGAGCTTATGATGCTACACTGAATATCACCTCTACTGAGGAACTTACTAAAAGAGTTGCTATAAGTATGCCTTGAATATAGTCATTTTTTTTTCACTGAAAAATAGGTTAGTATTTATTGCATTCTAAGATTAAAATATGCAAACCCAGAACTCTGTGATATCCTTTCAAACGTGAAATCCTTTGGGTTAAACCAGCCACAGTTATATTTTGCTTGAAAAAATATTGTGGATGTAGCTCTTCTTTCTGCCACATAATCTATAACCTATTTGGAGGACCTTAATTATCTTCTTGGGGGGGGGGGGGGGTGATGGTGGCACTTCAGATCTTGGTTTTGGAAGAGTCTTGGAAATTTTTCCTTAAAGAATGCAAATAATTTTTTTTCTTCTTGAATAGTAGTTCCAAAATTGCCTCTGCTGACAAGTATTAGCCATATTCCTTGGACAGTAGGGTGCAGACAAGAAAAAGCCACTTCTGAGGAGCAATCTTTTCCTGCTTAAGAGAAGATACAGTAGAAGAAGGAACTGCTACAGCTGAGAAGAGTATTACACTTCCTATTTTTTACCTAAATTTTGTGTATTGTCATTTTACAGCATACATAAGGTAACATATCATGCCAAAGGCACAGAACTATGTGGAGTCTGTACACCTTCAGTCAAGTAAGAAGAGAGGTGATGGTGGGTGCAGTGTAAGAAATCATGATGGACTGAATCTTTTAGGAGGAATAGTTAGTATTGCACATTCCCCTAGAATGTATTGGTGCAGAGCTTTTCTGGCTTTGCCTTTAATTTAATTGGGAGAAAAGAATATCAGTGAGGTTGCAGCCAGCATTCACATTTTTGAGCACATCTAAGAGGGATTTTGTGGGACTTTGTGCAAGGCTTACAGTCAAAGACTTGTGGATGCATCTGTTTCTATGTGTAGGATCTGGTCATTGTGTTTGTTGTTTTAATAGAAGTGAGAGTGGTAAGTTTGGAGACTGTTTAGTGATTTTTTTTTTTTTGTCTAGTTAATTTTGTATGACACTGCAACTCTTCTCCAAAGATGACCATGACTGATGCATATTTTATGTTACACTAGACAATATACAAGTGGATCTCGAGTATTACAGTGTGCATTAATAATCTTAATTGCTACGTATGTTCCTGACCAATGGAAGACAGATAACATGACTGATAAAACACAAACAAAAGATGGGTATCTGCAGTAGTTATTTTTGAATTAAGCTATCTTCCAGGTGAATTAAGGAAGAGGGGTTTTTTGTTTTGTTTTTTTGTTTTGTTGGGTTTTTTTGTTTTGTTTTGTTTTTTTGGTGGCTGATTTTATTATTTCTTTTTTTAATGAGTATACACTTGCATATATCCAGTCTAAAACTTTTCCCAAAATATCCAAAGTAGCCATTGCTTATTTCTAATTTAAAACCAAAATATTTTCAAGTCAGTGTACACTGTTCTCTTCCCTTAGGATGGTCACTAATAATACAGTTCTACATTGTAGGAGTCTAAAGGAAGATGTGTCACTTTAATACACTTAAATTAACGTTAGGAATTTTGAGTGATCTTGAGATAAAATATATTGCAATTAATTCAGAGCTGTGTAGTTATCAGCTATACTAATATCATCCTTGTTTGTTGAATAAATCTGAACTGGCTGTAGAGAATAATTTGCAAGTTTATCAGCCATTATTAATGAAGTTATTTA